TTGCACCCCAATATTTTTCTTTTAATTTTATTTATTTTCCTATCATACTGTTTCGTCAATATCGCTTTCATTTTATTTAAGGTTAGCTGCTAACTCTTCCATGCTAGATGTTAATACTGCTATATCATCTGCAAATCTAAGCATAGATATCTATCTCTCAAGTTTTTCTGTCTTTAATAATGCTAATCGCGTCCTCGATATATAGATTAAAAATTAGCGACGATAGTGTGTTCAATAAAATTATATTGTAAACCTCTAATTTCTACCTTAAGGGCCCCTAATTTCCTTACTTTTTGGGCCATCTTCATTATTACTTGACAGATTGGTTCATATAGCCTATATTGATGACGTAAAAACGAAATCCCAATGATTTTACAATATGTACTTTTGAGAGTTTTAAAATTGAATTTTTAAAATAGTATAGTAAAAGCGCTTTGCTGATATTTCAAGCGTTTGAGATAAAATTAAACAGTTAAATCTAAACAAAGTAACATGTTTGTCAGTTAAACTTAGTGGGTACACTGTAAACCGACGGTCCCATGTTTACCCTCGCCGTAAGCGCCCAGCGTCGCTTCCTTTAGTTACGTAGTAACTCAGGTAAACGGAATTAACACCGAACTAATTAATTAACATGCACAATCGAGACTTAATACTTTAAAGACAACCTCCACGGAAGTGTTCGCTCTAGAATCGCCCAACCGTGTAATTATAATCAAACACGAATTTATCACGTAACCTTGTGTGCTCCCTACTCACTACCGAACCGAATCTTAAATTTAGCCAAGCAAATATAGCGTCTTTATATTTAATTAATTCGAAAGCAAAAAATTAATTAGGCCACAGAAGTGTTAGTACTGACAATTTTAGTCGTAAGAGGGAGTTGTTCGGATTACACAGCCAATGATTTAGCAATGAAAAATCAGATGAAAAGTAAAAGGTTTCTTCGTATTCCAAAAATCGAAAATCAAGTACAATACATTGCGAAACCAGTAAAAAATAACCATATTGCAATCTTAAGGATTACATGGAGAAAACTAAATTTTTAAGACAACGCAAAAATTACAATTTTCGATTGTAAATGACTCAATTTGCCGTAGAAATAGTAACTTATTAAGTAACTTGTAATAATCTCAATTTTGACATATATTTTTAAAAATTATTTCAAGTTTCAATTTAATTAGTAATATCAACTAAAATACCTAGTAAATTTATTTCTGCTGGGATTTTATTTCTACAAATTCCAGTTTAAACTGTAATTTTTATTATTTTCGTTTACCAGGATAAGTTGTAAATATCGCTTTAATATTTACGTAAATTTTCGTTTTTCATTTTCTCCATGTATCAGTTCAAATATGCAAATTTGCTTCGGGACGTAGAATTCTCCCGTTTTATGTTAAAGGTCAACGGTATGCGATTTTAAATTGAATTTAATGTACTGGTAAAAATCATCTCAAACTCTCTAATGGAGAGTTCTTAGTTTTTTCTAAATTTATACCAAAGGGCAAAAGATGAAAGTACAAATAAAAGTTCCCAATATATATATATATAGGTAATTTTAGTTTTGTGTGGTCGTAATTTTAGCAATGTGCCGTACAAAAATAGAAATGGCTGGATCTATCGTGTTATCNGAGTTCTTAGTTTTTTCTAAATTTATACCAAAGGGCAAAAGATGAAAGTACAAATAAAAGTTCCCAATATATATATATATAGGTAATTTTAGTTTTGTGTGGTCGTAATTTTAGCAATGTGCCGTACAAAAATAGAAATGGCTGGATCTATCGTGTTATCTCATTTGTACCCTGTTTAATACCGTAAATTTACCATCTGGGAAAAAGTAAATTTACGTGTTATTTAAAGATCTGCCTGCTAGTCATTTTTCACGATATTGGATCTTTAATAGAGGGTTATTCATCGAACCGTACACACAGATACGTATAAAATAACTACCCACATATTTTATGCACTAAGGTCATGAGGTCATGCCCTAGTGACATTAAAATAATACTTTTCACATCCAATAAAATTCAATTCAAATACAAAAATATATATCGTGAGAAGTAACACTGACGTAGGTACCGAAGAGGGTTAGGAGCGTCAAACTTCCCCCCATACGGAATAGGAAGGTTTTTTAAATTATGCTGTAGTCTGAAGAGTGAGACAAACAATACATATTGAAAAGGTGTAGTCAGAGCGGTAGAAATAACTACCAGTATGTTGCAAAGCTTATCTATTAAAAACAGATTAGCCTAGAAGCCACTGAACGAAGAGATAAATAGGAACTAATAGTTAAAACGTCGATAGATAACTAATCGATAATTATTTTAATGTAAATTTGTTCGAACAAAAGTATTAAAAAACGATTACTAAAAAATTTTGGTGTCTGAAAAGACGACAAAGATAACAGTTTCGATCATAATTATCATTACCATAAGAGAAAATATATGTATCATACAAAAACAAAATCTGATTGTTTAGATTTTCCTTGAGGACTTATATAATATTGATACGTATTCATTCCAATTCCAATTTCAATTTTTTTATGATTTGAGCGGGTTAATTTGACTTTTAAGAAATAATTATGTAAAATGGTGGTAAAATATTATACAATAGACCACCACGAACAAATAAGATTCTGGAAAATAAAAATCCTACCTTATCTGAGTCCGTCGTATTTCCCGATCCGAACGAAGCCAAAGAATTTCTATCCAAATTTTCTACACTTTCGTCGAGGGAATTACATTCTTCAAAATCTCTGTAATGGAAAAAAATTGTTTTTTAAGAAAAAAATAATAAAACCAAATCTACACGTCAAATTTGCAAAAAATTCCAAAATGTAGTATCAGTAACAAAACAAAAAAAAATATCGAAAAAGGGCTGTTTATAAATCGCTTAACGCAAAATTTGCCAATTTGTGACAATCTCGTCACCTCCTCTCTCCCACTCCCCCCGTACCGCAAGTCCTGACCTGACCCCTCCTCCCTCACCGAGCCCTTATGCAACATGTGCATTATAAAAGTTTTAGGAATTCAATTTTAAATTGACTACGTAATAGGACTTTAACTCCCAGATGGACTCCCCCTTCCCCGACTTTTATAAGTGACTGAACCAAACCAAAAATGGACCTTAATTTATTATTTTTAATTTCTTGAACATACCTGCTCGACCTCTGACTCTGTGGTTTCAATTTTGCCGGACTCTTAGGCAAAGATAAAGGCAGTGCCCCACTGAAATACGTTTCTTGTATAACTTCGCGTAATTTTTTGACCCACAACTGCTTCGTCTCTAAAGAAGACGCTCTAAGGACTATTCTGTAATCGGAAATAGGAGCTCGACCTGTCCAAACAGCAAACTTACATTCGTCACCTTCCATATGTTCTGTTACACCCAATTCGGAAGTCTGAAAACAAAATAAAGATTACAAACGTAGCTTTATGTCCAATATGTTTAAAGCAATAAATTTTATCTAGATCGGAATTGTAGAAAATTTTAGCACAAGTAATAGCAGCAGTTCTAAACATATGTTTCTTAAGAACCTTGAAGAAGTTCGAATACTCACTCGAAACGTCGACAATTAAAAAAATTAGTTTACATTGCAACTAATATACGTTAAAGATACTAATAAGTAATAAATGTCAACTCACCATAAGTTTATTTTTATAGATGTATTTTACTTTTCCAGAAGAATCCTTGACTTCTTTGGTAAATAAGAGATACAATTCAAACAGGAATATGTGACGTTCTCTTCCTTTACGTATAATTTGCTTCGGATCCCATACACTAAAAGCATCTTGTAAGACGACCTCTCCCAGCTTATCCGATGACACATCGCAACCTTCTAACAAAGATAAGTGCATTGCGTCATTGGCTTTCTTGGGGACGTTTAACATTACGTCTAGACCGTCCTGAAAACGATACAAAAAATCCAATAAAGAGAAACAATAATGATTAACTTCCTTGCCAAGTTAACGAAAATGTTATACAGTTTATTTTGCCACCTATGACGATTTTGCAATGCACATTTACCATCAGTACATTTTCATTACCTAATAAATAAAATTTCAAAAGAACAATGTATTTTTAATTTTTATTGTTAGATGTATTAGATAAGGTAAAAGTCTTCAAAGATCGGTTAAGAAACTATAAAAAAATTATATGAAATGAGTAATAAAAAAAAAAACACTAAATACAATGAAGATAAAAAAGGAAATAGTTACAATTACTGGGGATTCTTAATCCAGTCTAACGAAATGATATATTTAATTTTTATATACGAATATTTAGTGTATGAATTAATTTTGAGATTGTAAGATACAAAATCAATATTTTAAAACAAATTCCAGGTCAATTCATCCAATAGTTATTTATTTAAGATTTCATCCCCTTACTGAAAATCAATAAACGGTACACTTTATTACATTTACGCCATCTAGTGATAAAAAGCTTCATTTAAAATTCATATACACGTTTTCTTATACAGGTACGGTAAAAAGTTCACCGAACATAGAAATTACTCATTTCGTTGTCGGTACTTTTGGACCAACAAAAAAAGGTTCAACTCAATTGGATGCATTACAGGGCTAGTCTTTGAAAATATTTACCATTTGGGCACTGAACGAAGATCAAGAGGATTGACCATCCCTTAGTGCGAGCAGATAAATACTTATTAATAATAACAAACAGCTCAATTGGGCATCGAAACTGACCAACTAGACGAATTTTGAAATAAAAGGACACTTCGTTCGTGTTGCCTTTTCCTATTAACTAACCGAACTTTCAAAATCTTTTAAACAAATCATTACACCCTGCAACATCGTTACAGTTTAACTGGGTGCTCCCATCATAATATTATAAATATTTATATACTGCGGGTGTGTATCAGCTGAAAAGATTGAGTTCGGCTGCTCATTTACGATCATGAACTATTTGAAACGAACTTTCAAGTTGGATTATCGACTGGAATTGAATGGGTGCCCAGCCCAATTGAGTGGATGCTCAGGCACCTATGGCCCCCCCCCCCTTGTTGCGGCCCTGCATATCCTANAACTTACTTGCTCTGCAGTTTTGTAAAAATTCAAGCTTGCAGTAACAAGTTTGTGCCTTTCTTCGGCACATGTGACGAGCTGCTGCCACCTCTTGGTAACCTCTTCAGATATGTCCTTTATGCTTTGAGGATCATAGTGATTGGCATTAATTAAAGCATCAGCACGGTACTTGACTTGCACTGCTGATGTGTGAGTCTTTTCGATGGCCACTTGAAACTGTTCATGTTCCTTCTTCAAAAGCTCTGCGTCTGCTAGACTGTTTGGTATCGCGAAGCTGGCCATTAACATACTTTCCCCGTTTCTTATCCAACTTATGACTTGGTTGGCGTCGTTTTGGAACTGACTTAGCTGAATGCATTGTTCCAATTTGACTCTTTTCATTTCGGCAAGGTCCTCGAGGTCTGCCTCGCGATCGTGCAAGAACTCCAAGAGAACCTGCACTCTGGTTTGAGCGTTGTACTGGGTGTCTGCCATTATACAAATGCCAGAATTTTCAAAAACTTGCACCAGTTCTTGGCCTTGTTGTAGGATTTGGAACGTAGTGTTTTGCATCTGACTGACGCTCTCGTTGTGTAAACGAAGATATTGTTCCGCTTTTGCTATGTCCCTTGTTAGCTCGCTGTGTTGCAATTCTTCGGCCCACATTTCCAACTGCGAGGAAACCTGCAAATGATAAAAGATTTAATAAGTACGCTGCAAATGCAGCACAAGATTTCTTACTTCTAACGCATCTCTTTCAAAGAGACGTAGCCTTAAGCATAGGTCGAGTCTTAATTTCCTAGCTGCCCAAAGTTCTTCCAAATCACTTCTTTGTTTTGATAATCGATCTAAAGCTGCTTCGACTGCTGATACTGAGCCTGTTGTGTCCATTTCACCAACAGACCTGTAATGAAGAAAACCCCGACAATTAAATAAAATCGGAAAATTTTGTGCAAAGTAAAAGCATGTAGGTGAAAAAGTGTCTTATTATAGCATTTATATATGTTTGCTATTGGTCAAATCTGAAACGAAGCAGTTTTTAATTATTAATTAAGATTTATCGGGGGTCTTGATTATATTTTCCGATTCCATTAAAGAAGTTGTGACAGGTTATTAAAACCGATTCTGTCATATTAGGGATAAACTTTTTCCAAAGACCAACGATTTATGTGCTTACCGTGTTAAATTAACGAACTTTGTAGACTGGTTTTAATAAGACTATTTTAACGAAACAGGTCTCATATACAGAATCAATATAACGTCATAACTTCTTGACAACAAGACTGCAGGTCCTTCAACAGTAGCTGATATTTCGTTATCCTTTGAACTGGTTTAATTAAATAGGCAGCTATTGGATGTTCTACTTTATGTTTTCTCTGTAATTCTTCAAAGTATGTTCCTCCATGTTGTACCAGAAGAGTATTCGACTCAGGTTTGTTTTTACAGTAACAAACGTACATGTCGAACTTCTGCGCCCACGTGACAAAACAATGGCCCACGTCTTCTGGCATTGTCTCGTATTTTTCGAGTTCTTTCAAAAACACTGAGTTATGGAAATTGTATATTTCTTCCATGTTCCCGAATATGACATTTTCTTTGCCCAATAAATTGGAAGGGACGTAACTACTTGTTCGCATTTCGTTCAGGAAGTATTTGATACAAGTTTCTAAGTCTTTAACGTAAGTTCTTTCTGTTTGGAGCAATTCCGCCATGATGAACCTGCAACAACAAAAATAGCATTATAATAACAAAGGTACTAACCAAAAAGTCTTAGATGTATGCAATGAGCCTTACTCTTTCCTTCTTGCAGATTTCCTTTTCTCCTCGTTAAGCTCTTTCAGCTCTTTGGCAGCAGCTTCCTTGACTTTGGCTTCCAAAGAAGGATCTGAGTTCCTGTCAATTGAAAGTTCCTTTTTTTCGCTTTCTTCTGCTTGAATACCGAGCATGTCTTCCAACTGTTGCCTGTACCTGTCCATTCTTGAGCTGAAATCTTTGTATCTGTTGTCGACTGCTGCGACCCATTGCTTGATGGCGTTTGCATGGGCATGGCCCTTTTCCACCAAACTATCGGCTAACTGAATGAGAAGCTTCACGCGTTCTCTGGTCTCTTTGGCGGTCCCCTTGAATTCGTTATGTTCTTTAAGTAGACTTTCCGTTTCGTCAATGCTGCTTCCAAGATTTGATACGTGAGTTATCAAGTAACATTCACCTGAAAGACAAAAAATATATTCCTTTCTGAGCCCATTTTTTTTGACATTAAAATGTTCTTTCAACATGACTCCAAATACAGAAAAACAGGAAATCGGAAAAGCACTTACGACAAAAAGAAATCACAATTATGTTAATGTACGAAAAAATTGTCAATTAGTTTTTTCAAAACAAAGGAACTATTGTTACTACGATAGAAATACGTCAATGAATAGAAATGAATCGCCAATAAATTTTTATGACGCCAGCGCTATAATGGTATGTTATGAAGCTATTAAAACGTCTCAAAGATTTCCATCGTTATATTTTTCTGCTATTAATAGCAATTATCCAGCCAGTTTTAGTACTGACGACCCTATGATAATGATGATGAATAGCAATTATAAAAAAATATGAAAAAGAAGAAGTACTAACCAGTATCATGTATCCATTCTATGGCTTGTTTGGCAGATCTTTCAAAAAGAACGAACTGTTGACATTGGTCTAGCCTCTTCTTCCGTTGCGTCCAATGCTCCAGAACTTTGTTTTCTTGGTTTAGAAGCTTCTCTAAAATACCTTTCACCCTGCTTTCGTGATTACCGGCACCTGGAGGATAATTGTAAAACTGTAAGCTCCTGGTCGTGTACTTCAGGAACGTTTCAGCTGTTCTCCTTGCCAATGTACAAGCTTTCAAAAAAGCTTCCTTTTGCTCCTGATGCTTATTTATCAATTGGGACACTGCAGTTGCCTTGTCCACGTTTGTTCCAGTTTGTTGGGCGTTGGCACACCAATCCTCGTCCCTTTTGTATTCCCTTTCTAAACTATCCAAAACTGAACAAACCTGTGGATAAAATAACAAATTGTTACTTGTAAAGTTCGTTTGTCTAGACCCATGTCANCGTTCGCCACGCCGCGATAACCTCAGAAATAATGGTCAAGTCTCACGATTACGTAGCACTGGCTCCCGACCCCATAAATACATTCATCGGCATTGTCTAGGTACATGCTGTGTAAGATTGTATGGTTAGCACCACGTTAATAATGTTTTCGTAATGCACTTTACAACATGAATGCAACAAGGTCTGTCTAGGCGCATACGAAAGCTCATGAGGTTATCAAATATTTATACCTACTACATACACAGCCCTATTTTACCGCTGGTTCTGGGATAGATAATTTATTGTGTTGCATGAAATTCCAGTTGTTAATTAGGAATGCAAGTTAAATGAACTGGGAGAAAAATGTCCTAAAACTCCGAACGCGTGCACAAAAATGTTCATGAGGTAGTGAGTCAGATGAAAAGAGCGCCAGCATCAGAATGCTTTAAATTTTCTTGTTACATAGTGAGAGTAAAACCTGTTGCTTGGGTGGAAGAATATTTACACATCTTTTCATCAAAAGATTTGGTAAGAATTGCAGCAGCGTTTAGCGTATAACACTGATACAAATGTGTTGAGTCAAGAGTTTGTACAAGGTGAACCAGCATGAAACTAAAAAAATAACTTTTAGGTGTTTCATTCCTACCAGCCACTAATGCTGGTGGGCGGGCAGTCCCTCCGGATTATGCCAGAAGGTAGGGCGAAACAACCTTTTCAGTCTCCTTTCAGGAATCATGAGAATGGGTGGGTGGGAAAGATGAGACGAAGGAAATGAAGACAGAAGAGAATGAAAGTTTATCTGTGGAATATTACTGCCTCAGCATTTGCCTATGTGGTCCAAGAAAACCACAGAAAAACTTGGGCCAAAGCAGACGAACCTGGAATCGAACCAGCGTTCTCCCGAATGCTAAGCAATGGTGTAAATGTCTAGGCCATGCTGCTCTGTCACCAGCAAAATACAGCCACATTAATTAAATTTTATATAACAAGTTCTTCCCCCTATCAGTCACTGTGAGCTCGAAACTGTTAACACCATTGCTTCGAGTGGTCGAAATTCACTATTGTGAACAATTTGTTCAATCACATTCTTTGTGTTAAAAATTATTTAAAAAATTAAATTTAAAGGAATTGTTTGTAAATAGGTATGCAACACATCGTACACTTCAGCATAACAAATTGCTGATACCAACTACGTAATACTACTTTCCTCTGTGCTGACAGCAGTATATTTTGCAGACTTGGCTTCTTCTGATACTCTTGAAAAGAAAATTAAGCCGAAGAAGGGAATTGAAAGGGAAACAAAAAGATTGGGTTATCACTCATTTTCAGTTGAAGAATATCATGAAATTTAGATGAAATTGTTTCGGAAGAATGCTTTTCTTGCTAAGAGCTTTCAGAGTTTCTTCGAAAATCTTAGTTATCAAGTTATAGGTACCTAANTGTTGAGTCAAGAGTTTGTACAAGGTGAACCAGCATGAAACTACAAAAATAACTTTTGGGTGTTTCATTCCTACCAGCCACTAATGCTGGTGGGTGGGCAGTCCCTCCGGACTATGCCAGAAGGTAGGGCGGAAGACCCCTTCAGTCTCCTTTCAGGAATCATGAGAATGGTTGCGTGGTGGTTCGGATGAGAAAGATGAAACGAACGAAATGAAGACAGAAAAGAATGAAAGATTATCTATGGATTATTTATTACTGTATCAGCATTTGTTTAAGTGATCCAAGGAAACCACAGAAAAACTTGGGCCAAGGCAGACGGACCTAGAATCGAACCAGCGTCCTCCCGAATGCTAAGCAATGGTCTAAACGTCTAGGCCATGCCGCTCGGCCACCAGCATGATAAGCCAAAATAAAATAGGTTCTTCCCCCCTATTAGTCACTGCTTCGAGTGGTCGAAATTCACTTTTGTGAACAATTTGTGTTAAAAAAAAAAAATTGTTTGTAAATAGGTATGCAACACATCGTACACTTCAGCATGACAAACTGCTGATACCAACTACGTAATACTACTTTCCCCTGTGCTGACAGCACTGTATTTTGCAGACTTGGCTTCTTCTGATACTTTTGAAAAAAAAAAATTAAGCCCAAGAAGGAAATTGAAAGGGAAACAAAAAGATTGGGTTATCACTCATTTTCAGTTGAAGAATATCATGAAATTTAGATGAAATTGTTTCGGAAGAATGCTTTTCTTGCTAAGAGCTTTCAGAGTTTCTTCGAAAATCTTAGTTATCAAGTTATAGGTACCTAAAGTGTAAAAGCGCGTGCATTTTGGCGTACCCAAACCAAGTTCTAAACTAGTAAATTATTCGCGAGCAACATCATCAGCGAAACCACCTAATAAGAAAGTTTTCTGCCGGCCGCTCGACTCTCCTTTCGGCTTTTTATTCTTCTTGGAAGGCACGAAGGCCATTTTAGTCATTTACTGGTCGCTCGTCGACGACTTTATTCATTTTTTTGTTCGCTTGTTTCGCGTACGCGTCCGACGCGACGGCGACCGATACGATACGATGCGTCCATTCCACCGTTCGCCACGCCGCGATAACCTCAGAAATAATGGTCAAGTCTCACGATTACGTAGCACTGGCTCCCATTAGGAATTAAAATCTTAAATTGCCCTTGTTAAAGTTAATGGCAGAAATCCATTTATACCTACTTTAATTTTCTCTCTACTTGCAACCTCAATCTACAATATGTGGCGATTTCCGTGGAAAAATAATCATGAAAATTATTTCCTTCAAATACAAGCACGTGTTACTTGTAATATTAAAAAAAGAAAGACAAAAAATTTAATTTTAATATTCAATCTTATTGGAGTGTAGTAATTCCAAAGTTGTTAACA